GTGTTTGCGCATGTGAAAGTGTCTGACATAAACGTTTGATCCTCTCTTGCTGCTTTTCCCTGCTCCTCATGAAAAAATAGTGAGTTGCAAAAAGGAGACAGATTCTCTTCTGCTGGGTTAAAAGTTTTGCATTAACTTTTTAAGTCTCGTCTCTGGTCATTTTCGACCACTGTTTGTCTATCTCCAGTTCTGTGTAATCAGAAGGGATTCGTATTACAGCTGTCAATTTAATGCATTAATTTAGTATAATTAATTCATGAATATGGAAACAATATATTTACTACTTTTTGTCTTTGGAATTTTCTTTCTTTCTTTCTTTCTTTTTATATGTAAAAATGATTTGATCAGAATGTCATGGCAACTTCACATTACTTATCAAAATAAGTTGGGCAATTTATATTTGTATATTTTATAAATTATTATGAAATTCAACTTGATTTTAAAGTCGATTTAATGTAATTCACGTTGACAATCCAAGTTGATTATACTTAAAATTTAAGGCAGCAACTGAACTAAGGTTTTTAATGTGAAATAAGTGGAATTATTTCTTTTAGTGTATAGAGTTTTGGATACAAATATGAATATTTGTAATTTAAGTGCAGTTTATTAAATAAATCTGCACATCAGGTGATTAATTCATCAACTGAGCTGTCAATTTAATGTTATTCCGGTATAATTAATTAAATAATAGGGAAACAATATGTTGACCACTTTTTGTGTGTTTGCTCATTTATGCTTTACTCATCTGCCACAATGTCTTTGAATTATCTGGAGAATTTTTCTTTATTTAAATTTTTTTTTTTTTAGCAAATATTCATATTTGTGACTTAATTGCAATTAATTCACTAAATTAATCTGCATATCATGTAATAAATTAATGTAAAGTTTTTAATCAATTTACTGTTTTATTTAAGATAAAATTGTAAATGGATAAAGGCTACAAATGAGCTGCTCTCTTGTCTGAATTTGGGACATCACTCTATCCCACCCACTGATACTTCAGATTTTAAGAGGCCAATTTCATAATCCTCTTTTCTTTTCTGAAGTCCAATTATAATTTTAATCAAGGGCTTTTGCACCAAGAACAGTCATAATTTATTTTGAAAGATTGAAAAATTTCCACCCTTTATCTGACACTGAGATTTAAACAGGTTGTTTTTTCTACCTTATACATGTAAATCACTTCTGTTATGATTGGCTAACCCATTTGCATATTAAAGAGATTAAAAAGTAACAACACCCACATGAAGGCACACATTACCATATAAGGTGGATACGTGGTGATCATATCTTAATGGTCTTTTGCTGCTTAGTTTCCAATATAGAAGCCCAGAAATGCCAAGTGATTAAATATGCCTTTCCGAGTCTGTTCTTACATTGTTTTTTTTTCTCTCCACAATCACAACACAGACAAAGGCTTATTTAGATGTTTCAGTCACTGCATTCATAGATCAGGGGCAGTAGTAGTTTCAAGTTTTCCCAAGAGTAGAGGTCTTTCCTTACATTCCCATGTTATTCCTGCTGTATCTGGGATACGTGGGGCACACGCTCGGCCCTGAAGGCCCCATTCACTCAGCTGTGCTAAATGTTTGCTATTTGTTGGGGACAATTGGTTGAGTTTAAAGTTTAATCCACTCTCCTGAATGGAAGCCCGATATGTGCAGACTTGATGTGTTTTAAATGGGTGCAGAAACACATTGTTTCCCTGGCATTGCATTTGCTTAGCAGCGCTGGCTCGATATGTAAAAAAAAAGTCCAGGGGGTGGAAGCTGTGCTGGGATTCAGATGCGAGAGGGGGAGAGATGAAGAAAGAGACTGTTTATATGAAAGATTGCACACATTTCTAAGAATAACAGCACAGAATCATTGCATATAGCTTCAGGTGTCTCCGTGATGTTCTTCTTTGATCGTTTCCCGCTGATGGGTGATCTAATGCTGCCTTCTAGTAGTCCTTGAGGAGGTTCTTGAGATTTGTTGGTGGGAAATAAAACAGACATTTTGGGATATTTAATATTTCACGTCACAAAGAAACAGAGGATGATTTTAGTGCTAGTTCAACAAAATAAATTCTGAAAGAATGACTCTGAACCAGTTCTTTTTTTTAGTGAATTAAATACATGGAGCACAACCAGTGTAGTGTAGTCTGATTTCTAAACAAATGACAGTTCTGAGCGGGTTTTTTTATTATTTAATTTAATTTTTTTAGTGAATCATACAGTACTATACAAACTGTATAGAGCAACCAGAGTAGTCCAGTTCCCAAACAAATTATATTTTGAGCCTTTTTTTCTAAATCAAACACATACTGTACAGCACGACCAGTGTAGTCCAATTCCTGAATGAATGGTTCTTTTTAGTGAATCAGACACATAGGGTATGGTGCAACCAGTGTAGTCCACTTCCTGAACGAATGAATGACTTCCTGAATGAACGAACAAATGAATGAAAGTGAAATAAACACACATACAGCGCAACCAGTGTAGTCTGATTTTCAAATGAATGACTCTTATGAGCCGGTTCTTTTTAGTGAATCAAATGCATTTGTCAACCAGAGTAATCAGATTCCTGAACGAATGACTATTATGAACCAGTTATTCTTTTGAGCCTTTTTAAAACAATTTTATCGAACGCATGCAGTTAACAACTTAAATTAGTGTACTGACTTGTTCACTTAACAATGTGTAGGTAAACATACATATTGTAAATGTCAGTATTTCATAAAAAAAATCAATTGAATTACTTATTTTAGCTTTGTTTTGTTGATTATATATATATATATATATATATATATATATATATATATATATATATATATATATATATATATATATATATATATTTATATA